CAAAGTTAGAAAAAATAATTCTCTATTCAAAACTGAGTACAAGAACAACACAATTTTAATTCAGAAAAGGGTCAAAATTAGATAGTATACCCGAAGTTTGCTCATTTCATTCAGAAACTCTGCATGCTTTGACACAAGGCTATCGAGTGTTAGAGGTGCCTCTTCAGAGCCTTCTACAATATCAGTAACCATTGGCTGCACAACAGCACCATCAGAAACCGCACCCGATACCATAAGAGGTGGAACTTTTGCAGAGTTTGGAGCCAGGGTAATAGGTTTATCCTCAACTAGAATGGCCAAAAGAAGATCAAGGCCTTGTTTGAGCCAAAAGACATCACTTAAAGCTTCCCAGTCTTGAACTTGAATAATGTATTGCAGTCTCGTGAACAATGTTTTCGCAAGGGCCTCATGATAAAGAGAGAAGAACTTCATCCGGATGTCAGGATCTTTTGCCCTTAAACCAAGTAAGAACTTCCTCTCTACTTTCTCAAACACTTCTTGGCGTAGAGGAGAAGGATATCTGAAAGACAACTCCATTATAATAAGTTGAATTTAAAATTAAAAGAAAGACACGAAGGACATGACTTACTTAAATGAGTCAGCACAAAGTCCAAAGAGAAGATCAAGATATTTCCTATCCCACTCTTCTAGGAGACTAGGAGAGAGGTTCTGCTTATCAACTTGTGAAAGCTTCTGAAGGAAAGCAACAACTTCTTTAGGAGTAAGAAACATACTAGACGCAACAGATGTGCCTTGTTTACTAAAATCATCTTCAATCCATCCCTTTATTACATCTAGTATGCAGAGAAGCAAAGAAGGATCAGTGCCCTTCTCAGAGAGCAAGGAGTTCAAAATCTGTGTTACAGATCGCTTGCACTCTGGAACAATCATGACTTTTTCACTGATAAGTGTCAAAACAGATTTCAAATTAGCAATGGCAATCCCATAATCAGCACCTTGACGAGAAGAAGTTACAGCAGAATCTGGATCAGATCTCTGACCCTGCATAAAGATTGAATATAATGGTATCAGTCCAACTGAAGCACATGAAAAATGAAGTACAAAGCAGCTATAATCATGCATACGCAGCATGACGTTTCAAGAACATAAAATGTTAAAACTGGGATCCTGTCAGTTACTTCAAGATATACTTGGCAAAGAGAAAATGGGCCCTATAGGTGGTCAAACATACAATCAAATTTATCTTATTAAGACCTGACGCGTGAACTTTGATAGTATCCTAATAGGAAAGCAGGGGCATACTTGTCTAGCATAAGAGCCGCTGGATAATCCAATATCTCTTGCAAGGCGCTGAAGGACATGAACCAAATTCGATGGATTAATGAAGTTTTTGTGCACATCTGACAAGGTTTTGACGATATACAGCACAAAGCTAATCGTGCTACCAGAATTATCTTCCCCAGAAATCTGAGTTGCAACAGCGGCAAGGTTCTTCTGTACAATCTCCTCCACTTTTTGATACAACATCTTTATATCATGTGGCGTATTGACCGCTTCTGGATGAAATGCAGAAGAGACCATCTTCAACAGGGAGCACAATGACTTTCCAGCGTCTATCATTTTAAACTTGAAACATGGTTCAAGAACCTGTGAAACATTCACCAATTAAAAGGTAATGTTTTTTTTTTTTTTAAGCCATGGCCTATTAAAAATCTAGATAAAATAACAATTCTGCAAAGATTCATACTTGGGAAATCTGGTTGATATTATTTCGAACAAACAAGTGAGGTTGCTTCTCCAGGACCTTGTTCATCACATCCAGACCTTGAGCTAGGGCTGAAGATGGGTCCTTCGATTGGGAGGATGGAGTATTATTTAGCAGCTTCTCTAAATAATTGAATTTGACATTAGCATTGGGCCACACTTCCAGAGCCTGTGATAGAAGCTCCAAAGCTTGTTTATACATTAGACTTGCCTCCTTATCCTTGGGCTCTATCACTAAAGCAACCTAAATACCAAAATCAAAGCAAAATAAGAGGACGAGTATTTATTATCTTCACTTAAAAATCATTGTGTAACCAACTATAATGAACATAACTCATAGTAGTATTATATATATATATATATATTTTNAAATATAATGAACATAACTCAAAATAGTATTAAATATATAAATATATATTTTTTTTTTTTTTTTCCCCAGATTTAAAGAGAATTAGTAATCAAAGTTACTGGTTATAGCAGAAGATCCCCAGCACTTGGATAAGCTTGAAAAATGACCAAGAGAGTAATAGAAATTAGGGATAATGAACTAATTCATCTACCTTGAGCTATTACCATCTTAAAAAGTTCAAATAAATGTGTACATGGAAAATGCCGCTATTTGTGTCAGAGAAATGGAAGTTAAATGTATAATTAACATATAAAAAAGGCAGTGTCATCAAGAAATTATGCAAGGATTTCTGTAATTAAGCATACATCAGTAAGAAGCAAATTGAGTACGACCTTGTAAACAAACAATGATCTAAAAACCATAACAGTAACGAATGCAGCGGAGTGGAGTTGGATAGAAGTGATTTAGGATATAGCGAATGTAAATGGGGAAATGTACAGTTGAGCTCTAAAACCCATGTATAAGCCCTCATCTTAGATTCAATATCCCACTTCCAGTTATAGCTAGTCCAAAAATAGCCTCTTTGTTCCCTTCGTTAAGCTAAATCAGATGTTTCAGTCAGCTACACTTGGAAAGCCCAAATAGAGAAGACCAGCCACACTGCCATAGAGCTCAAATATGATTCCTAGGATGGATCTGGATCATAGATAGCGTCTCCACATGGCCATTTATTTCCTTTTCAGTTTGGGATGCCTTAGCTATATTCAATCACTTATTTGAGATGCAGAAGCCTTTGTGTGTGTGTGTGT